CGCCGTGCCAGGGCCCGGGATGGCCCTCGCCAGGCCTGGTGGTAGTGGTAATGCGGGATGACGACTAATTAAAAAATGGGAGAGAACGATTCAACAATTAGTTCTCTGCTGTTTCTGCACAGTTCTCTGACTGGAGGAGAACGATTGAAAAGAATAGTTTTCCAGCCCGCGGTCGGTTTTTTCTAATCGTCATCCCGGGCGCCGCCGCGTGAACACGACCCCCGGTCATTTATTATTCGTCATCTTCCATTATCGGAGGTGCCTTTGTGCGTAGCTCGAGATCGACGGATCGCCGTCCATGGCGGCGGCGGGCACCGCCCCCGCGGCTGCCGCGGCCGCGCCCGCGGAGCCCTCCAGGGAGGAGTGGCTCGCGCGCTTCCCGCTGCGGGTAGAGGGCGGCAAGGTCGTGGACGCGCACGGGCAGCGCTTTCGCCTGAAGGGCGTCAACTGGTGCCGCGAGGAAGATTGATGTGCACATCCAAGGCGTCTTGGATGTTTTGGGAAGGGGTGCCAGAAACCCGCGAGGCAGTGGATATGGAAGGACATCTAGCCTCGGTAGAGGCCAGATTCTATCCATATCCGCTGCGTCTCGGGTTTCCCTCCTCCCTCCTCCTACTTCGCCCCCCGAAGCTTGGTGTCTCTTTCTTGGTCACCCTACCCTTGCGATAGATATGTTACATGGGCCATGCACTGACTGGTTGCCCCCCAGGGCTGTTCACTCCATAACCATAACTGCCCCCACCTCTGCGGCATATGTTCCAATCGAGCGCCAGGCTGAGGTGGCCGGAGTTTATTCCTGCTGGCCGCGCCCATCTTCTCCCTCCAAAACAAACATATCCACCTCGTCACGGGTTTCCAGGGAAGGGCGTCCGAACATCCGAGGCGGTCCTGTCCGCAGGTACGGCGGCTCCGACGTTCAGCACGTCGTGGGGGGTCTGCACTGCCGGCGACTCGCGGATCTGGCCCAGGGCGTGAGGGACATGGGTTTCACGGTGGTGCGGCTGCCGTTCTCCAACCAGATGATGCGGCCTGGCGTCGAGCCTGGAGAGCAGGAGGAGGAAGAGGACGTACACAGGCAGGACGCTGCAATAAGGTCACTCCGCGGTTGCTCCTCTGGCCCTCGTTCCTTCTTCCAGCAGGCCTTCCGTGCACCCCGCCTCGCCTGCATCTGCTGGGCCGCGCTCCTCCCGTGCTGCCGCGGCCGGCCGCCGCTGGGCCTCTTCGCCCCTGCTCCCTCGCCCGTCGCCCGTCCCCGCCGCACGCGAGCGCCTCTCGGGGTCGCCTCGGCCCGTCTTGGAAGAGACGTTCTCTGGCCGCGCCCGCCACCGCACCGCCCTGGGCCCGCACTTCGGAGTAGTAGAGGCTGCCGACAGCGCCAATGACCCTCCCCTCGCTTTCGCCTTTCGCCGGGCCTCCCGGGGGGGGGCCCTCGCCGCGGGGCGCGCACCCTCGTGGGGAGAGGTCCGGGGGCGGGCGGCTGCGCGGCACCTGCCGGCTGCCCCCAGGAGAGGGCTCCATCGACTTCGCCCTGAACCCCGAGCTGAGGGGCCTGGGGCCGCTGGAGGTGTTCGACGCGGTCGTGCACGCGCTGGGGGCCTGCCAGGTCGCGGTGGTCCCCAACAACCACTGCTCCTTCAGCGCCTGGGGCGGCGAGCCCGACGCCAACGGCCTGTGGTTCTGCGACAAGCCGTGCGGCGACCCGCCGGTGACCTACTCCGAGGATTGGGGGAGGGCCCGTCGAGACACTGGCGGCACTTCCTTCGCCTGCTGCAGTCGGACCGAGGTACAAGATCGAGGTCGGTGCGGGGAGGGTACCCTCATGCTCTTCGTGCGTGTTGGATGCTCTTGTGCATCGTGGGGGAGGACACCCTCGAATGCTCTTCAGTTAGGCCGGCGGAGGGTCTCATGTTCTGGAAGGATGTTCTTCTGTCCCAGGTCCGACTGTGATGGTGGCGGGTGGTCAGGCAATAGGGTAAGCTCAATTCTTTGGATTTTCTTAGTTCGGTGCCGCACTTGTGTCAAACGTTGTCAGCACGTGTTTTTTTTCCGTGGTGTTTTCTTTCAAAGCTTTTCGTGCGGGCCAGCCTTTGTACAAGCACATGCTTGTTTCCGTAGTTTGCCCTTCGCTGATTCTGACCACCAGCAGTCTGGCCCCACATTGGCAGGCGAATGAATTGGCGGCCCTCCGGTCCAGGCCAAATCCGCTCAAAATCGGCTGCCGGGCCCCTCCTGGGGTCTGTCCTAACCCATCTTTCGAGGCGCATCCTTCGGTAGCAAATCATGGGAATCTGGTATACCCTCTTAATTCCGTCTTCAGCGTCGGTTAGCGTCGATTAGCGTCTGGAAGTCGATGCTATAGCGCCGATTTAGGATCGGCCAGCGTCGATTGGCGTCGATTTAGCCTCGATTTGGCGTCGATTAGCGTCCATTGGGCGTCGACTCAGCGTCGATCCGCAAGAGCCGACCCAGTGGTATGGGAGGCTCCCGTGAGTTGCCACCGAACCCTGGCTTTGCGGTCCTGATCCGCCCCCCGCCCCTTACCGGCTGCGACGAGTACGTGAGCCTGCCTCTGGCACAGTCCCGAAGCGCGCTTCGCGTGCTGAGGGTGCCCCCCTGCCTGTGCCTCTGAAGTTGCTTCGTCGCGCCGCGTCCCGTCGTAGCCTCACCGCACCTCGGGTCCCAGACGCCGCCGACGAAGCAGCATCTGCATCGGCCGGCCCTCCTCCGAGAGAGGGCCAGTTCTTCGAGGACTGGCGCGCCATGGCCCGGCGGTACCGGGGCGTGCCCTGGGTCATCGGCTACGACCTCCGCAACGAGGTGCGGCCCGTGCCCGGCATGCCGACCAGGTGGCCCCTGTGGCGCGAGGATCGGCAGGTCCGGGGGGGTCCCCAGGCACCCCTAGAGGGCGACCCGTTGGGGAACCAAAAGGGCACGAGGCAAAAACCCTGGGTGAACCAAGGCGGCCAATGACAGGGTCGTCTTTTCCGAGGGGCTGAGGCAGACATGCGCACGAAGAGCGTTCGGAGGTCCGCGCTGATCTCTTGGATCGGCGCTGGACCCCCCTCCCTGGCGCGCGATGCGCGCCAGGGGCGGCGCCAGAGGCGCCGCCAGGGGGCTCCAGGGCCGATCCAAGAAATCCGCGCGGACTTCCGAATGTGTATGCTTGTGTGATTGTGAACGAAGAAGGGCTCGAGGTGAAAACCCTAGGCGACCCTAGGTAAGAGCGCGTCTATCCCGTGGCGATCTCGGACGTGACCGCGGGGGCAGGGGGGAGGGGGCCAGTTACGTCGCGAGTCGCGTCGGCGCCGTGTGGGCATGCCTCGTTGTCGTGGTCTTCGTGTTCGTCCTCGTCGCCGTCCGCGTCGTTTTCGTCTTCTTCGTCGTCGTGGTGGTCGTCCTCGTCGTCGTCGTCGTCGTCGTCGTCGTCGTCGTCGTAGTCACGCCGCTCCCGCCGTGAATGGCCGTGAGAGAACAACACGCACATGAAACGGGCGCCCGAGCCAATGGAAAGTAAGCACGCGTCAGAGAGGCCCTTCGTCGTAGTGGCTTCTGGCGCGAGCGCACACAGTCAGAGGCTCAGGAAGAGGTACCGCTACAGTCAAAACTCATAGTAAGAACGCGCGGGTGTCCTCAGAGTACCGTTGCGTCACTGCCTTTGCGGCCCGTCCTTCACGGTTTTCACTGGCTAACTCCTCAGGGGGTGTTGGCAGCCCGCCGCCCAAACAGTGCCAAATTCGGCGTCCAATGCCCTTGCGTCCTTACCGCCCGTCCTTACTATAGGTTCCCGCTGTACCCCTACCTCATGTTTGCCTTGTTGGGCGTCCTGGAAGACCCTCGTCGCCACCGCTGGAGTCGACTCAAGATCTCGCGCAGAACGCCACCTGGCAGAGGACCGTGGAGTAGCGGTGTCGGTATCTTTTGGTTCCCCCAGTGCGCTTGTCTTTGCCCCCACCCCCGCCACCCCATGAAGCCACGCACCGAGGGGCTGAAACAAGGGCCACTCTTGGCTGCGGAGGGGCTCCCGTCGTCGGGCTGTTCCTCAGATCTGGGTCGGGGAGCCGTGGGTGTGCATGTGGCTGGATGTCTGTCCAGCGCTTGGTCTTTTTATGGCCGCGCACGATAGGCTTCCGCACGTGTATCTAGCATGTGGCAGGGGGCGGAGGAGGAGGAGGAGGAGGGGGAGGAGGAGGAGGAGGAGGAGGAGGAGGAGGAGGAGGAGGCGTGAGGAGGAGGCGGGGAGGTAGGGAGAGCGGTGGAGAAAGGGAGGGGAGAGGGAGGAGGCGGAGGGGGAGGGGGAGGGGGGGGAAGAGGTTAGACAAAAGGGGAGAGTCCACGGGAGAGAGAGGGGAGGAAGGGCGGGGGCCCATCGAAGGGCCACTTCTTGTGCCCAGGCAGGGGGCGACGGCCCCGCCTCGGCCCGCCGCCGGGCTCCCCCCCCCCTCCCAAGAACAACAGAAAGGAGCCCCCTGCATCGTCGGGCTCGGCCTCAGGCCCGGCCCGACGGGGGAGGAGGAGGAGGAGGAGGTGGAGGAGGAGGAGGAGGAGGAGGAGGAGGAGGAGAAGGAGGAGCAGGAGGACACATGGTGCGTCGTGTGTCCCTTTCAGCTTCAGGAGGGCACCTGGTGCGTCGTGTGTGCGGTCTGTGGGCTCGGAGGTCGCAAAGTCTCTGCCAAGCTATCTGAGCAGTGCAATGGACCCCCTGCAACTTCCTCCCACGGCGCGCGCGTGTTGGCGAACCTCGCGCGCGCGCCAGCACGATACAGTCTCAATAAGAAGTGGCACCTGCTCCGCCAGCCGTTCAAGACTGGCGATCAGGTCCGTGCGGGTGAGATTGATTCTCTCCATATCGCCTAACTCATTTGGCTTTTTCTTCTCCTGTGTGTTCACTCGAGGAGTGAACGTGAGCGGGTGGTGGCGCAAGTGGTAATGGCCCCGCATCAAAGGGGAAGCGCCACCCATCCAACTCAAAGGTGTGCGGCGAGACCCATCGTCGCGCAGGGCAGTGTCGAGGAGGAGGAGGGGGAGGAGCAGGAGGAGGGGGAGGAGCAGGAGGAGGAGGAGGAGGAGACGATCACGAGGAGGAGGAGGAGGAGAAGAAGAAGGAGCAGGAGGAGAAGGAGGGGGAGGAAGAGGAGGAGCAGGAGGAGGGGGATGGGAGCAGAAGGAGAAGGAGGAGGAGGAGGACGAGGACGAGGAGGAGGAGGAGGAGGAGGAGGAGGAGGAGGAGGAGGAGGAGGAGGAGGATGGGAGGGGCAACGCGGAGAGCGGATCGCAGGGGCAGCGGCCTTGAGCCCTGCGAGGGCTCTTACAAAAGCCAAAGGCGTCGAAACAGCTCCGATTTGAATTTTTCAATACGTTGGAGGTCTGGGCTACTCCTCTGCGTTCAGGCCAAGAGTCCGAGGCGCGGATTTGTCTTTGACCGCCTGCGGGACGGATCTCCAGGTCACTTGCAGGCGATGGATATAGATATACTCGGGCCCTGGCGGAGGCCAAGTGTATCCATATCCAGCGCCTGCCGAGGCTCCTGGGGATCCGTCCCCCAAGCGATTGTTAGCAAAGAGCCCCGGCGTCGTGTTTTTGTTCACACTGTGGTCCTCTGGGGATCTGGGCCTCCTTCCTTTGGACAAGTTTTGCGTCCCTGGTCGGTGTTTCATGGCCCCAGGGCCCCATGAAGGCCCCCTGGAGGCCAAAAATTGTCAAACACCGTCCGCGTCGTTGTTCTTGTTGGTGCGGATCCGGTTTGCACACGGACAGCCCCCCCAGGTCGCCCCAGCTGGCCTTCACGAGCCCCTCGATTACAGTGGAGACCCATGCCAAGGAACACCCTGCTTGCCCCACGGTGCACTGGGTGTCATGGGTTTCGATGGCTTTGCTATGGAAAGCGTGACTTACCCACGTCCTGGGGTCTCAGGGTTGGGTTGCTGGTGGAAGGTGTCTTGTGGTCGGGCCCCTACTGTAGTCTGCAGCGGCCTCAACACCCCAACCCTGGAGCGCGGAACGCCCCAGAGGCGCCGCCAGAGGCGGTGCCATGGTGTCCAGACCGCCTCGGGCGACTCGCGGGGGAAGGGGGGGGCTTGCTGAGGCCAGCCAGGACTACTTTGGCGGGCTGTCTACACGCAACCCGAAGGCTTACCTCGAGTAGGGCATCGACTCTACAATTGATGTACCCCAGGATTTCGTCGAAGGCGCGAAACAGAAACGTCGACTGCTCATATATCCACGAGCACCTTACGTATGTGTTTGTGGATTCAACGAGGAAATCAATTCTGGGGTGCATCAAATCTGCAGTCGGCCCCCTGCGCGATTACCACGTGATTGTCTCGCGACGAGAGGAGGTGGGGGACCCCCCGCCTCGCGGAGAGGGCGACGCGGCCTGGCGTGACCAGCGCGGCCTCCTCCAAGCCCGCGCGCTCCGCGGGAGAGAGAGAGAGAGAGAGAGAGTGCGAGCGAGGAGGAGAAGGAGCAGGGGGAGGAGCAGGAGGAGGAGGAAGAGGAGGAGGAGGAGGAGGAGGAAGAAAAAGAAAAAGGGCGAGGAAGGGCAAGGAGGGGAGGAGGGCGAGGAAGGGCGAGGGAAGGCGAGGACGGGCGCGCAGGGGCGAGGAAGGGCGAGGAGCGGCGCGGATGGGGCGAGGATGGAGAGAGGGACGCAGACATCTCACTTCGCAGCGCAGCAGAGGCAGTCCACGCGTGGTCGGGCAAGCTGGGTACCGCGCGCTTGGGAGATACAGTCGCCCCGCATGGTAAGGGTGAGCAACCTTCCCAAGGGTGCCCTTGCATCCTTACCTCCTCGGTGCATTCTTCGCCACTTTCGTTGGCGCGCCCCGCTCGAAAAGTTTCGAGATGGGCATCCAAGGCCCTTGCATCCTTATCGCACATCCCTACTATACGGGTTGACTGTAGGCTTAAATCGGGCATGCACCTCGACAGGAGGAATCTCGAGAAATAGTCGAACAATACTCTGGGGACGATGTTTCGAGTACTTGCTCCCATGCTTGATTCCCAAGCCCGCGTGTAGGAAGAAATGCCCGACCGGACTGCAGGCCCACGCATGCGATGTCTTGACCTTCTCGAGCCCCCGAGGACCGGGCCGCGCCGGCGGGGCTGCCCGCGTGCGCGGGCGCACTGCTCGCGTGCGCGGGTGGGCTGCTCGCCTTCCAGGGGGCGTGCGCGGCCGGGCTGCTCGGCGGGGGCGCGCTGGCCGCGTGCGGGTGCGGGCTGCTGCTCTGCAAGGCCCAGGGCTCCCCCGTGCCTCCTGCTCCCTGCTCCGCTCACTTCCCTCCCTCCCTCCCTCCCCCTCCTTCTCCCCTGCCTTCCCCTCTCCTCTCCCCTCCCCCTCCTCCCTCCATCCCTCTTCTCCTCCTCCTCCTCCTCATCATCATCAATATCCTCCTCCTCCTCCTCCTCGTCCTCCTCCGCCTCCCTTCCCCGTAGCAGACGTTGCGGGAGAGGATACAAAACAGTCTCGTGCCTTTCCTCCTCCCCTCCCCTCTTCTCTTCTTTCCCAACAAGGAGAACCAAGGCGCTGGCCAGCCCTGCGAAGAGCCTCTCCCCTTCCCTTGGTGCCGCCTCGGCCCTGGCCTCTTGGAGCCCTGTGGCTCCTGGTCCTATGCCCCCCTCCGCCTCCTCCGCCTCCTCCTGTGGCCCCTCGCGGGTCCCTGAGGGCCCATGTTTTAGGGTTGGTCCATGGCCAGCGCCGGTGCCCGATCTGTCGCATCCGCGTGCGCTCCTTCAGAGCCGAGGAGGACGGGATGCGTGCTATGGATTGCCTTGGACAGTGCGCTCAGATGTCCGGAGGTGCCGTGCACCTCGCAACCGTATGTCCTGCTGGCCAACAGTCCGCTGGTAAAAATATGTCTGGCGTGGCGGCCCAGGGCAAGACGATGCACGCCAAGTCTGTGAATCTTCTTCTTAAAAACCTGTTTACGAACCTTAATCTTCACCCCCCTCCTAGCCATCCTCCTCCCGAGGGGCATGACCTGTTCTACTATGAGCACCCAGAGAAGCCCACGAGCCTTCTTGTGTGACATCGCTGGGGTTCGTTCCAGCACGGCGGCTCGCGGGGACTGCACGGCCAGTGCAGCTGGAGACCACCTCACAGAAGGAGCTGTGCTGCAACTGCAGCGTGCGAGGTCTGGCCGAACCCCCCAAGAGTGCCGCCTTGTGCTAAGTCTCCTACCCGGCTCCCTCGGTCAGCTAGTCAGCGAAGCTCTCGCGGCAACTCAAGCAGGCCAGGAAGTCGAAGCCATCCGCGGAGGCGTTCATTCTTTCCCCCGTTCCTGCAGTTGCGGCCCCCCCCCAGTGGGAGGACCTGGCTCCGTGTGGTGGCCCACCGGTCCCACATGAGATGCGTTTGTGCTTGCGCGTGTGGCACGGGCGCTCGCGTTCGCTGCGCGTTTCGCAGACGTACCAGGAACCCCTGCTGCCGCACCCTTCGGGGCTTCGAGGCTCGGGGGGGAACAGAGCACGCGCACATCTCCTGCTCGTGCCTCTGGAGTTCCGTTGCCGCCCTTGGAGGGTGGTGCTTTCAGCTGCATGCAGGGGGCTGCTGCAGCCAGAGACAGATGCCAGGAGTCAATGTTTCGGGTAAGGGTCGGGTCGGCCAATACCTAGCCTTTCATCATCAACCACGTGCTTGTCCTCTCCTTCCCTCTCCTCCCCCCTCCTCCCCTCCCCGCCCCTCCCCGCCCCTCCCTCCACTGCCTTCCCCCCCACCTGTGATGCGAAGCAGGTGCACACTACGGCACGAACATTTTGTAGACGTATATTGGTATTTCTATGCCGTCGCCCTCGCAATCACGCACCCCAACGTTGTGCACCGGCCTGTGCCTGATATCTATGTTCTTGTCTGTAGCTCATCCTGTCTTGGGCATCGGCCTAAAGCTTGTGGTTGCGAATTCGGTTCCTGAACATTGAGCCAGGGCGCCGACAGGGGTGGGGACTTGCTCGATGGGCGGGAGGGTCGGCTTTCAGAGGAGGAACAGGTACCGATACTGGTACCCAGAGCCTCCCAGGGCCCTCGTCGCCACGGCCAGAGTCGCTTTGGAATTCTGGTTCGAACGCACCCCCTTGGAGAGGTCCAGGGAGTAGGGGTTCCTTGTATGTTTCCCAGGCTCACGTGGGGAAGGCTCGGGATGGGGTGAGGGAGGGGAAGAGGGTGGAAGAGGCACGGGGAGGCCGGCTCGCCGCTGCCTGCCTGAGGAGGAGGTGGAGGGGAAGGAGGAATGGAGGAGGGGGATGAGGAAGAGTGGAGGAGGAGGAGGAGGAGAAGGAGGGGGAGGAGGAGGAGGAGGAGGAAATGCTCGGGGGCGTCCTCCAAGGGGGGGGGGACAGGGCTCGTCTCGATTCCTCCGGTTCGATTCGATTTGATTTCGATGGCTTCCGGTTCCGAGTCGAGCCGGCTTCGGATTCGGATTTTTGGCTTCCGATTTCTCATTGGAGGCCTGCTCGCCTGCCAGCTTCCGCCGATTCGACTTCTCCCGACTCGACCGCCGATTACCGGCGATCCGATTCGTTTCGATCGCCGATCCGATTTATCCGTTCGATTCTGGGCCCTCCTGGGGGGGGGATGACTAATCTGTGCGATCGACATGGGTACGTCAGGGACGGGCCCGGCGACCCACAGCAGTTCCGGTTCCTGGCGGGCAGGGCTCGCTCTCCGTGCCGCCGCGGCCGTCGTCGATTTGCGACCGAGGGCCGGCTGCGCAGTCGCGGGCGCTGCCGATCTTGGACAACATCAGCTGTTGGGCACCGTGCGCATGTTTTCAATGCCCACTTCGGGCGTCCACAGGTAGGTTTAAGTCGGGCCTGTCCCTCTACAGGAGGAATATTCTAAAATAGTAAACGATAGTCCGGGGACGATGTTCGGACTATTTTTGTTGCCCATTGGGGAGGGATATATCTATATATCTATCTATCTCTATATATATATATATGTTTCTGCTTTTCGGCCAGATCCCCCCTGTAGGGGGACATGCCCAACTTAAGAGTAGGCGGGTGTGGGTGCCCTGGCTGGGGCCGTGACGTCTCTGCGGTGCCATGGCCCCCCTTTCTCTTTCTCGGTGCGCTGCCCGGCCGCCATCCTCGTCTGCGCGCGTGCCGCCAGCCATGACCTCTGTGGCCCCCCCCGTTCTCTTGGGCCCCCCCCCGGAGGTCGAGCAGATCGTGATGCCGAAGCAGTCGCTGGAGCCCTGCGTGCTGAGCCCTCCAGAGGTCAGACAGGAAATCACGGACGCTCCCGCCCGTCTCGGCGCAGGGCGCCCTTCAGCGATGAACAGCCCCGTACAGTGCCCCACAGCGCCCAGTAGCGCCGAAGAGCGTTCAAATAGCGCTCAATTGCGCCGTACGAGGGAGGTGCATGAGGTCCGCTCTGTGCGCGGTTGGGCGCGCTATTGGGCGTCATGGGGACGACCAAGAGCTTCCGTGGGTTGCTTTCTGACGGAGGGCATCCCCCGAAGCCGCCTGGTCTTCGGCGTCCACTGCTACGCCTGGTCGGGGCCTGGCCTGTACATCCGAAGAAGAACCAACGCCACGAACAAAGACTTCTGGTGCTCCGCGCGGATGCCTTCGATCCGCGCTGGGCCCCTCTGGCGGCGCGGCCAGTGGGGCGCTCCGCGCGCCAGTGCGAGGAAATCCGTGCGGAGATCCAGAAGTTTATGTTTACGCCGCTTCTTGTTCTTCTACACATACCCACCTTCGTGACGCTGGATGGCTGGAACGCACCCGGGAGCTGGAGGAAGCGGCTGCTCGACTCGGTGCGCAGTGGGCCCCTCACGCGGCCGCTCGGGGGGCACTGCGGCGACGCGCGGTGCTTCGGCGAGATGCCGCGCAGGGAGCAGATCGAGTGGTACAGGAAGATCTGGGGCGGAGTTCTGGAGAAGCAGCTGGCCCCCGTGTGGGTGAGCGAGTTTGGTGTTGACTTCGAGGCCGAACCGGCGCACCGAGTCTGGTTCGAGGCGCTGGCCAAGTACCTCGCGGACTCTGACGGCGACTACGCCTACTGGCCGCTCAATGGCGGCCCCAAGCCGAACGGCCACAGCGAACCCTACGGGCTTCTTGACGATGGCTGGGGTCCCATCACGAACGACTGGCGGAGATCGGTGCTGCTGGCGGAGGCGCACTGTGGGAGACATTGCATGCAACGATAGTCCTTCGTGCGGGCTCTGTGCGGTAAAAAATGGCGCGCCTGGCGGCACAAGTGTGCCACCACCTATGTATCGGATCCCACTTGTCGCCGTCACGGCCAACATGTACGTCGGTGACTTTGAACAAATCTAGCGTTCAGCATTTCTTTTTACACAGTTCCGCTTGCATCAAAGCTATGTGGTCGCAAGCGCGGACCGCAAACAATGGTTTCTTGCATCCTTTGTATTGTAATATGTGTTAAGTGCAGCCTACGTGTTGCAATTCGCCCGCGCCATTGATGAGCTGTGAACTCCACTGCTGGCGCAAACATCCCACCTCCCACCCGCAACTTGTTTTGCAAAACCCATGTGGCCACGATTGCGGTGACTGCTTGTCACTGGCTGGCGCGTCTTCCCGGCCGCGCTGGCGCATGCACGCTCGCGTGCAGAGCGTGTCAGTTGGTTTGGCGCAACTGATGCGGCTACGATGGCGCTTACCGAGTGGAGCTTCCCAGTGCGTCTCAGAGGCTGTGGTGGCCCCAAGGCGTGACTTGGGCGGGCGCGGTATCATGATGACGTCGAGAACGGCGACAACGATGATGATAGTGGGGGCGGCTGTGACCATAATGGCGATGACAGCAGCAAAGCCAACGACTGCGCCGTTGTTGCTGACGACGGCGACGATGATGATGTCCGTGTGTCGGTGCTGAAGGTGCTCGACTGATGATGGCCGAAACAAATGGTCGCAATTTGCGATCACGATAACTATTGTGTTGCGATGGCGCTGATGCGGTGATGGGAGGGAATTACGGGAGCAGAAATTCAAGACATGTCAGACTTTGTGCTAACAGACATGTGGTTGCACATGTTTGTGTTTAGAGCTCTTTCTTGGGATGCTTCGGCAGCCAATGGTTTGGGAGTGGTTTCGGCACCTGCGTATGGCGGTGCCCGGTTGCGGCCCGCGTGGTATTAGTTGTCGGTGTTTCGTGCGGTGAGCGCATGCTAGAGCCACGGGGATGCGCCGCGTGGTGAGATGCGAGTGCGGCTTTTGGATAATAGGAGAATCACGGTGTTGATATAATGACAGCAACTGCGCGCGGGCAGCAATGTTGC